CTATTAAGAGAGATATTATGTTACTATCAGATTTGAGTTTGAAATTTATCCTGTAGACAGTGGGAAATATTAAATGGCATTTTTAGGCAGGGCTGACAAATATAGAAACTGGGTTCCCAAGAAGGCTATAGGGACATTTGTTTCATGCTACTCCAAATTTGTAGAGCATCCAGTTGGGAGACATTCCTTAAATAGGTACTAAGCAAGGTCTGCCTTCCATTTAGAAAAGGCAAAATAGATGGCTGGCATCCTAATAAGCTATGGCCTTAAACATTAGATATAAGCATGGCTATTTGGATGTAATTTTTTGCTACTCTGAATCCTAAGGATGTGATAGAATTATGTGATTATGTAAGATAGGGTGGAAATTATTTAAGTATGATTTCAAGAGAGCAGAAGGGCTGATGCTGGAAGCATGTAATTGAAAAACCCAGGAGCATACTAGGCTTCAGGCAAGTATGAAGTAGGGAAGAAAGGCTGACATCATGACCCGGATTCAGTATTTCTCTCTCCACACTCAGGTGTTGTTTTCCCTTGTTAGGTCATCTCAGATGGGTTCTAACTCAGTGATAGACCCTTATTCTTATTAATTCTTGAGAATAAAAGATTTATATTTGAGTTTCATCAGCAGTATCTATGTTGCTTTGTCAAATCTTGACCAAGACTGATTGGCTGCCCTTGAGTTATCCTTTTCCTAGACAGAAAGGATGGAGTTAGAGTCACACCAGCCACATGGAATTAGCACAGGGGTATATTTCTCATAAGAAAAATCGGAGTATGGTTATTAGAATAAGGGATAGCAGAAGTGTCACAAAAAGAACATTTAAGCATCTGATGGCTCTTTTAATCTACTTTTCTTCATATTCCCTCAAGTGAGGCATAATCATAATTGGATCCTGGCATATTGGGTGTAATTATATGTGTAAGTTGTTTTAGATCTTATAAAGGCATCATTAGGTTTGATAGAGTTGAGATCCATTGGTTAGAGGGTATATGAAATGACACAAGTCTGCTTGTAAAGCTGTAAAAAAAAAAAAAAAACTGTGTTCTTAATGCCTAAATTTTATTGATATCTCAAGCCATGATTCCTTCTGGAATTAAAAGAAGAATTATGATCACTAATCATAGGGGAAAGGTTAAATCAGTGAAGTGTCTGGGAGTCAGTATTCCCTCCTCAGTGCACTGTGCCATCCATGTTTCTGAGAAAAATCTTAGCATGGGCCTTGACAGGTCTCTCTTGTGTCTCACAATTGGTCCCCTTGTGGGTGATTATAATTATTATCCCCAGTTCTGGGTATATTTCAAGCAGTGAAATACTCTAATTCTTAAGCTTTAGAAATGACATCCTGCTTTACATGGTCGACACAGTTGCCGAGAATTATCAACCGCCAGCACAGACGGTGGACGCATAATAAAATCACTGCTCATTTTGGGGTGGTCACAAGGATACGCATGTTGAGGAGTAACAGTCTTCCCTCTACAGTTCCAGGTGCATTGTCCAAGTCCATCATAAGCATTTCCAGGGAAATAATGTTATGTTCATTGCTATATCTATCATCTTAGAATTGAACAGAATGAAAAAGAAAAAGGAAGGAAGGAAGGGAAAAAAAAGAAAAAAGGAAAAAAGCTTTAGGTGAAGGTGTAAACTTATACTATATACACTAAATTTTAAATATATTAGTAACTGTATTATCATTTCTAATGAAATTACTCTGATGTGGATGGTTTGTGTTGATACATAAATCTTCATATCCAATACGCTTCACCTATCTTGTCTCAAGTTTATTTATCTTAATTTAATTTTTTAAATTTTTGTTTGTTTTATTTTTTTTCATCAAAAAATCATTTTATTTCCACCCTCTGAGCTATTACACAGGAGCAAGTGGGAGGTGTGTGGATGGGGATCACTGACAGCAGGGAATTCCTGGGTTGTCACAGACTAAGCGCCATACTCATACTGAACAGAAAAGTGTCTACCAGATGAGAAAGATGAATGATACTGGAGAAATGTATCATTTTATCTGGAAGGATTTTCAGGGAAGTCCTGCTGCCATGTCATAGACCAAGCCTTGTCATTCACCCCCATTTGTCTACGATGCTGTGGGCAGTCCTGATGGTTTTGTGCCGAAAAGAAAGGTAATATTTCCCAGATGTCACTCACAGTGAAAGAGCCAAAGGAAGGTTATATTGGGTTACAAGTGGGCCCTTGTGGAAGGCAAATCATGAGATTTGAAAAAAGGAATTATCTTCTCCTAACTGAAGTTTAATAAAAGAACCGATTTCTTCTCTCTGGAGACTGACTTTTTTCACTTGCAAGGCTAACATGTCTCCGACATGGGGGAAAAAATTTTTTTTTTTCTTGTGGTGGGCTGATCTGGGAGGCAGGTTGAAGGACAAGCTTGTGTCTCTGACTGCTGGGGCAGAGTTACAGCCCACACAGCAGGTTCCTGAGGGAGGGCAAGGTATCTGTCATGCTGGAGCAGGCTTACGAAGGCTTTATATGTCCCATTAGGCTGAGGCTCTAGAACCGTGTGCCCAGTGCAGGAAATGTGAGGATAGTCAAGCTCTGGAAAGCTGGAATTCGGCTAAGGAGGGGGAATGCCATAGCTTGCCAGATTAAATGGAAGGGGTCGCCGCCGGGGACTCTGGGTACTGATCCACAGCCAAAGGACTAGACTCCTTCAAGCTGCAGTTGATGGATACCCAAAAGATACTTCTGGGTATGGTTTTGTCCACTGAGAAGAGAAGACTATGGTGGTACTATGATGCCCAAAGTTGCTCAGTCTTCATTATCATTTTCATAGATAATTTAACTTTTTTAAAAAAATATTGTGTTTTAGAAAGATAAAGAGCATGAGCAGAGGGAGGGGCAGAAGAAGAGGGAGATAAATAATCCCAAGCAGACTGCAAGCTGAGCGAGGAGCCAGATATGGGGCTCTGTCCCATGACCCTGAGACCATGACCTGAGCCAAAATCAAGAGTTGGACGTTCAACCAACTGAGCCACCCAGGCGCCCCTAGATAATTTAAGTCTTTATTTTGAAATAAATGTTGACATAGAAAGGGCATACCAAATCAGTGTTGAATGTTTTGGTGCATCTTTGCCCTGAGCCTTTAATACAACATCATCCAGAGTAGATAGAACAATTACTGAACCAGAAAATTAACATGAATATAATACTATTAAACAAAATATTGACCTTATTTAAATTTCATTTCTTTCCACTAAAAGAGTATAACCCTTAAAAAGATGAAAAATCTGTAGCTGCTGGATGGCTCAGTCACTTCAGCCTCCGACTCCTGATTTCAGCTCAGGTTGTGATCTCACATTCATGAGATCAGGCCCTGCATTGAGCTTCGCACTGGACATGGAGCCTGCTTAAGATTCTCTCTCTCTCTCTCTCTCTCTCTCCTTGTCTCTCCCCCCCTCTGCTCTATTGTGGCCTGCTCACATGCCCTATCTCTAAAAAACAAAACAAAACATAAAGATGAAAAACCTAATTGACTATTAAATCTTAAGAGGTAGGTAGTGAAGATAGTTCTATGTACAAAGATAACAGGAGAAACCAAAAGGGGAGAAATAGACCACTTTGGGAGAAAAAAAATTAAGATTGCATACATCAAAAGTATCATAAATAGACACAAACAGAAGGAAAAGTAGGATATTTTTAAACCTACAATCTGAGCAACATTGCAGAGTTAGAACATTGGTTATGCATCCCCTTGTTAGAGTTTACAAGCTTTCAATATAGGAGTAATATATATTGAATTGTCTTTAAAAACTCCAATTGTGTGCTTTGTTGTATGATGACTAGGAATATTTACCAAAAAGCCCCACATTAGTTGAGTGAATCAAGATAACTCCTCATTTGTGTAAATCATTTCGTAGTATTGAAATTCTAAGAAACGAGCTTTTTAGAATTTCAACTCTTCTCTAAAGAAGAAAAATTAGCTAAAGGTTCCTTTCACACTGAGACAGCTGTACCCCTTCTCTACATGACAGGAAAATAAAATAGGAAGTGATGTTCAAAAGGTGGGGATTGTAAGTGAAGAACCCTCAAACCTGATGTATTCACTCATTCGGTTATTCATTCATTCTGCATAAATTGTGTTCAGTTTGCTCCTAGTGCTCATCACATCTACTCTATTTAGAGTCATTATGCATGAGCTGTACCTTCCTACTACATGATCTGCTCCTGCAGAGACAATACAAAGTCTGGGTCCTGTGGGTTTCATCGAGTTTTCTGTTCTCCTTTAGCCCGCCTGTCTAAAAGTACCCAAGTTACCAGGACAAAGACAGAAAAACCTGAGCATAATGAGGCAGATGTCATTGGAAGAGCTGTAAGGGTTTAGATTCAGATGACTAAGAACACATGGCACTTATGTCAGAAGTAACAAACATTCATCTATAAATCAAGGCCAGTTATGGTAAGTTCAGAGGGCTATCACATCTGTCCAGACTCAGGCCCAGCAGGGAGAGTCCACTGACGAAGCCTGGAAAGAGAAATGGCTTCTGAGCATCAGGAAGCCCTTTGAGTAGCACCCCAGGCCTCTAGAATATAACACTCAAATACTATCGTCTTTAAAGGGAATACAGATCCTTGTGGGTCTGTGACTACATTAACTAGGATCCAGATGATAGTCATAAAAAAAAAAATGCTGCTGTTTAGAGATGTGCTTTCAGAAACCAGAATCAATTGCAGATTTGCAACTACAATTATTTTATAACACAACAATATGCCAATATAATAAAACAGCATTAAATGTAAGGCCAAATAAAGTTCCATCTTTTTAAATGAGTGTGTTCGTGCTAATACATCAAAGTTTGAATTGAAAGAAACATTCTTTTACATTACAGGTCCCCCTCATTTGTACAGATCCATTACATCTCCTACCCTGAAGGACTTATCCGTGAACAAAACAGAGAAATGCACCTGATGTATTTAAGGAATTGTTAGTGTTTTATGACTTCTTAGCAATAAACTATGTTTCTCTCAACAGAATAAAAGCCTGAAGAACAAACTCTTGTCAGGAAGCAAGCTGTGTGGCATCCATGCAGAAGAGGTGAGTACATATTCTAGCTTCGATGTAATGTATAGTGCCGAAGTAGTAGTGCCAAATTCTTCTGTATTAACCCAGAAATCTGGAGACTTCTTCTTTCACTAATATAAATGAAAACACTGGAATAGAAAAATGAAAACAGATTTTAAACTTTTAGGCATTTTTGGATATTTTAAAATTGCAAAACAACAACAACAAAAAAAAAGGCAGCGAAGCATCACTTCCCTAAAGAGATTTTATGGATTCCTTCCTTAACTGGATTATCAGGATTTTCTTAATAGCAAATACCTGGAGGTCCATGAAGTTTTCATTTTTTGAACTATTTATGTGATGATGTCTACAGAGTTTTGCAATGACAACTAAATGTCAGAATGAGGATTCCAGGGTTGACCATAAGCCTCAAGAAACAAATCCAATCATTGGTTCTACTTGCTAGGCAGGAAAATTACTTCATGCGTTTCTTAGTGGTGGTGGCAGGGGAGTCCTTCTGGTTAATCCAGATTTAAGTAAAATCAATTTCCTGTACTTCTGATTTCCCAAATCCATTGGTGCCTTATGATCCTCTATTTAATGTTATAGACACTGAGCTCATGTAATTCTTCGTGATAGTAACGGGATAGTAGAGAGAGTGTCCTATGTACTAGTCAGTGACTATACCTGGAGGAGAAGAGTAACACGGTCACTGTGTTAGCCGAATCCTCCAATAAGCACACCAGAGATGAGAGTCTTTGTGCAAGGGATTTATTAACGGACAAACCTATGAACAATAAAGAGCAAGCATGAGAGTCTTTAGGCCACAATGTACATCTGATGCTTGCAAAGGAAGGGGGAAGGATGACAGTTTAGATAGAACAAGAAAAGTGGCTCACACAAGCTAAAAGTTTAACCCCTTTCCCACAGTAGTTAGAAGTAAGGCACAAAACTGGTGAAGTACCTCTATAATCTCCAATTGTGGAACCACCTTTTGTTTCAATGACCTTTTCTTGCTATTATTACCCTCTAGCAGAAGGAATGGGGAAGATTACCTGGTGACTCACAAGCATTGCTTTTTAGAAGTCCAACCAGGAGGTAGTGACGCATGTCATACCATACCCTGTCTGCCAGGCCTGGGTCACACGCCCAGCCAAACTGAATGGTATCTGGAAAATGTCGTTAGGTTGGTAGGTTGGTGGCCACGTGACTATCCAGATCTTGTTTTTTTTTTTTTTTTTTTTTTTTTTTTTTTTAGTGAACAAGCTGAAAATATTCCCTGATGGACTTGTAAAAGTCATTGCCATAAACACTGAAGTTAGAGTCTAACATGAAATAGAATAACCTCTGCTTATAATGCCTTCACAATAATATTACACATGAAATGAGTAGAAGTGCTCAATACATGGAAACTAAAGGTTGATGCTCCATAAATGAATAACCAATGGAATGGCTTGTAGATTTGGGCCAGTGTAGTGTTTTGTTTTTGTTTTTTTTTTCTCATTATACTTTTCTATCCAAATAGACATAGACACATTGTCTAATTTACTAGGTTTCTAGAAATATTAATGTGTAGCATACAGTCTCTGGATATTATTTATAAGAGGGTAAGCAAGTGGAACCAATTTTTGAATAAGGATTATGTGGACTGAAGCCATATCTTGAGGATTCCCATGTTCCCAGTCTCCACAACACTCCCAAAAGAGAGATGGCCTCTAGGATAAGTTGTCTGTGCTGTACAGAAACAAACAAATGAATAAATAAGCAACAATAATAATCTGGGTCTGTCTGTATTTTTTAGACCCTTACTTCAAGTATTATTCATTTTTAAAAAATTTATCTCAATTCTTTAGAGAATATATTGTATCTACATTTTAATTTATGAATTCCTAGATGCTTCATATATTAGCACTGCATAATGTTGAAATTAATTTATTCATTTGACCTATCTCTCTACTTACTTATTTACGGAAAAAAAAAATTAGAGTTTAACATTCTGGGCAGTAGAGGCATATGTTTCTGTTTTTGTTTTGTTTTGTTTTCTGTCACAAAAACACTTCCCAAGAATGCAATAATAAATGTAATTATTTATTTTAACACCACCACTACTACCAAAACAAAACAGTGATGTCGTCTATCAGCTGAGGAGCTACAATGAGCTGTCTTCTAAATCAGTGACCCTAAACTATTCATAGATAAATAAATATCCAAATCCCATTGGTACTTAATGGAGTGCCAATATTTTAATTTGCCGAGGTAGGATATTGAAAACAGTAGAGTCTACTACAAATACCACTACCATCATATTCACTATTATTTCATGAAGGGAATGCTACTTGGACATGGATTGTGGAAAAGAAAAACCTCAGAAATTAGCTAAAATGTTCTATCATGGTCACCTTCTTTGTCTTCACCTTCTCCATCTTTTTATTATACTCACAATCATCACCATCATCATCACAAACTTAATTTCACCGTAGACTTATGAAAACTTCATGACACGAACATGTAAAATCGCATTTATAAATCGCTAGTTTTAAAAATTACTAAAATCCCCAATATAGTAATAGCTCAGTGGTTTGAAGATTACCCCTCTGACAGTTTTAATTTTTCAAAATGATGCTCTAGGAAGCTAAAAGAAAACAAAGTGTCAATGGGGTTTTAGATCAATGCGCTTTACAAATGCACTCAGCTTAAAATGTATTTATTCTTTGCATATTCTTGTCAGATCGTTAGATAGGATTTTGCTTTTTAACTCACTGAACATTAGAAGATGGCTGGAATATACAATGCAGAGAAGTGATGGGTGACTGTGATGAAAATTTCTAAGAAAAAAATATTTATAAACAACTTTATGTAAGGAAATTAGCTGTTCTTGCTCATTTAGTGCCAAACAAAGATGTGTGGGCTTTTATTTTGTAGCTCCTGAATGAATCACTGCATAATACAAAAATTGATGTTTTAATAATTCAAGTTACGAATAAAAGTTTATATTATCTTTTATGTATTCAGCATAAATATGCACTAAAACGAACGCCCAAAATGGTTAAAATTAGTCCTTTCTGACACTTAAAATATAGAGCATTAATTATTTGGAAGAATAGAAGTGAAATTGGGCAAACCATGCACACCATATGTGGTGGTAATCTTTCATTCCCCATTGATATTGGTCAAATTTAGTTTGGAAAAATAAATAAATAAAATCTGTTTACCGAAGAGACTATCCTGGCTGTAAATTAACCCTGGACCACAGATTGGAACAGCAGGGAGACAATGAACTGTGCGTTTGAAGTTGGAGAAGATAACAGAAATAATTCTTTATTGAAATCAGTAGCACAAAATTAAGTATAGCCATGGAAACCAGCAAATGTCTTGGAGATGAAGTTAATGTAATAATAGAGAGATGCTGTGTCCGGAATATTGCTATTTGGGGTTACTTGGGGAATGTTGTGGCAGGAGAAGAGAGTTGCAATAAATGTAGACTCCGGGAGTAGAGGTGTGAATCCAGGGCGCCGATGAGTTTTTACTCTTAGGAGGTGGAACCGACCATACACATACAACAATGGCTCTTCGGCTTCTTCTGCATTATATCATGCATTTCACTTTCACTAAACCTATCAAGGGATTCCTTTTTTTTACATAAATGAAAAAAAATAGTAGCTAGTTTGTAAGAAACCACAAATCCTTGCTTCTTCTAGGTATAGAGTTTAATCGCATGGTTCTGAATTGTTAGTGTTGAACTCTTTCTCCCTGCCTCCCTTCCTTCCTCCTTCCTTCCTTCCTTCTCTCTCTCTGTCTCAAATCATCACTCTCCCCCCTTCATTTTCCTCTCTCCCTCTTCCCTTGTCTCTTCTTCCTTTCCTTTATTTCTTTTCATCCGCTCTTATCAATTTCCTGATTCACTAGATCACAAGATGCAGTTGGTTCATGATAGGGATATCTGGGAAAACCGTTCCTAATAGTCGAGCCTTGTGCTGGTGCAAGACAGAATGTGTAAAATTCTGCTCTAATTGACGGTGCTTCCAGAATTAGACACTAATCTAGGAATTATATCACCATCAGAACACAGTGTCCCACGTGGCAAACTCCGCTATCTTGCATCATTAGCCGTGTTCTGTATATAACAGGAAACCGAATCTGAGTGTAGCCACAGCTGGTTCAGTGAAAGACTCATATACATTGAATGGAAGCTTGGAAAATCATATTTCAAAAATATGAGTGGGCTCCATTTGTTGACGAGGACCTTCGTCACAGCTTACTGGGATATAATAGTCACACGAAGATCTTGTGGTTAGTATGTACTATGGCCAGCGACTTTTAAAATTGAAGTTTGAGATAAAGTTCACATACAATTCATCCTACTTAAGTATACAGTTGGATGGGTTTGACCAATGTATGTGTTAAGGATATAGAACATTTCATCATCCCCAGAGTTTTCTCTTGCTGTTTTATAATCTCTACCACAAATCCCCAGCCAGTGTCACCTACTGGCCTGATTTCTGTCCCTCTTTTTTTGTCTTTTTTTTTTTAGAATACCATATAAATGGCATTATAGAAAAGATAGCTTCCAGTGACTGGAGAATTTCACATAGTGCAATGCTTTTGAAATCCATCCGCACTGTTGCAAGCTTCAGTACTTGTATTCTAGTATTTCATGAATGTACCATAAAGTGTTTGCTCTTCACCAGTTAATGGACATGTAGGTCATTTCCAACTTTTGACTCGTACGAATAAAGATACTATAAGCATTTATGCATATATTATAATTTCCCTTGAACAAATACTTAGAAAGAATTGCTATACAATGAATGCCCTTTGTGTATGTTTGACTTTATAAGAAACCACCAAACTGTTTCCCAAAGTGACTATACCATTTTGTATTCCTATTCAACTCTTTCTTTATTTTTTTTCAATTATCATTTTTATGTGACTATGATAATCTATTTGTGTTTTTATTCTTCTACTGAGGAGTCAGTACCTGTGATTTTACATACTGGAAGACAAATAACTGAGGTCCTTATGTTAGAATGTTTAAAATTGGGTCTGTTCTGGAAAAATGGAAAGATGAGATCATTATCTGTGGCTCACCAGATATACTTCCATATAGTAGTCAAGTGGTGGTGAGAGAAATTTCCTTGTTATAAAGCACTTTTATATTTGGCATAGTTCTCTTAAAAGGTACATTCTTCTACAGAACAAACACCCTTCACCTCAGCATCTTAGCATTCTAGCTGCTTCTTCTTCTTTTTTTTTTTTTCCTTCCTGTCACATTTGCTTGCTGCCTTCCCTTTGGACATACGTCAAATTCAAACTTGGTTGTCAATTTAAATTTACAAATATTTAATCTTTAAAAAGAAGTGATTGCAAATAAGCAGTGAAAACTGAGGCATACATAGACATAAGTATATTTAGCATCTAAAATTGGATTGTTGAACATGCTCTGGTGACTAAAATTCTCTGTGTGTATGTGTAGTCTTTTTTGGTTGGGGGAGGAGGATGCTGGAGAGAGAAACAATAAACTACTTTTAAAAGGCAATATTTTGGTTCCTATTATATGTCATCTAAACTCAAATTGAAAAATTAAAAGTTTAAAAGTAAAATTTCTACAAAAAAATAAAATAATATGGTTCCTTTGCAGAGGATTAGGTTTTTTCCTCCTGCCTAGACTGGCTGGATGTCCAACTTCTAGAGCAGAGATTAAGCTTTTGCTTGACTGCAAAATTCATTCCTGAACAGCTTAAAACAATTTTAATCTTCAAGTTTGAAAGTGTAAATGAAATTAGGCACTAATATATGTTTCTGTTCTTGCAGTCAAAAAAAATCCAAGCCCAGCTGAAGGAGCTTCGTTACGGGAAGAAAGATTTATTATTTAAGGTGAGCGTTCTCCTCACCTCCTTTCCCCCTCTACCTGTCCAATACATAAACTACAATATCATTGAGGTTAAATTTAATTTCTGGATTTTCATAAGAATTACAGCTGTATTTGACTGCATTGAAGGTGCTTTCATTTTCTTGCTTTCTTAGTTAATGGAGACAAATGCAGGTATGGTTTCCAGGGTACATTCTTAATCAAAGGCAGGCGTCATTCCAAAGTGTTTAAAGTCCCTTTGCAACCTTCAGTTACTTTAATTCAGTATTGAGGAATATGGAACTTTCAGAATATTTACATTAAGGACAGGATAGATTGAGAGAATTTCCAGAGATGAGATCCAGGGATGTTCTACGTTCTTGACTTCCAGAGATCCCTGCATAAATCTCTTCATAGTACTGAGTCTTTACATTTAATCATTGTTGATTGATTTTTCTTACTGATACTTTTCTTTGCAAGATTATCAAGTCAAGATCTATGTATAGGTAGACATCTACTACAAACAATGGGATAATGGCCTCCCAAAGATACCCGCTTGCTAATTCCTGGCACCTGTGAAATGTATAGCTTATGGCAAAGGAGACTTTGCAGATGTGATTAAGTTAAGGATCTTCAGATAGGGAGGTTATTCCAAAATATCCAGGTGAAACCTAAATATAATCATACAAGTCCTTTTAAGAGTAAGACAAAAAAGGCCTAAATAAGAAGGTTATGTGATCACAGAAGCTGGAGGAGGGAAGACAATGTAAAGGATTCCCTTCTATAACCTTCAGAAAGAACCAGCCATACAAACCCCTTGATCTTAGTCCCATAAAATTTATTTCAGACGTCTGACTTTCAAAACTGTAAGAGAATACATTTTTTAAAAAAATATTTTTGTTTATTGATCCATGAGAGACACAGCAAGAGAGAGGCAGAGAGACATAGGCTGAGGGAGAAGCAGGCTCCATGTGGAGAGCCTGATATGGGACTCGAACCCAGATCCCAGGATCATGTCCTGGGCCGAAGGCAGATGCTCAACCACTGAGCCACTCAGGGATCCCGAGAATATATTTTTTAAAGCCACTTAGTTCAAGGTACTTTGTTATAGCAGCAAGATGAAACTTAGATACTTTCTTCTATCTCCCTTGAGCAGAAGGAAATAAGAGGTAGGTGTCTAACTGTTGTTCTTATGGTCCACGTGCAATTCCCAATGCAATAGAGTGATGGAATATTAGGCTCTTAGTAGGAGTAATAATTTGTTTAATAAATAATAAGTATGAATTACATTGTATGTAATATTTTTAAAATGTTTTCATTACAGTGATCAGCCCAATCTACAAGTGCAGGTTTTAACTTAAAGAAGGAGAATTCCTCATTTTATTTAATATATAGAAAATCCCACAGTTTTTCCAGTGAAAACAATAAGAAATGGCACATTTCTCTTCTTCAGCCCCTTTACTTTTGGCTCAGGGTCAAGGTGTTCCTATTACGTCAACCAATATTTTTTTAAAGATTTTATTTATTTATGTGAGCGAGACAGAAAATGAGAGAGACATATAAAAATCATGAACAGGGAGAAGGGCAGAGGGAGAAGCAGACTCCCCGCTGAGCGGGGAGCCCGATGTGGGTCAATACCAGGACGCTGGGATCATGACCTGAACTGAAGGCAGATGCCAACCAAGCACCCCCAACCAATATTTATTAAATATTCATTTCATGTGAAGCATGAGTCTAGAGATTATCTTGCCATTTGCTCTTACATCGATATGCTTCATGCCTTTTTTTTTTTCACCTCATTTACACCAAGCTTTCCCCAGCACACCACAAAAACTGTGAATTCTCATGAATGCTTACTGACCCCTGCCTCTCAACATTTTGTTTGTTATATGTGATAAGTAGATAAAAGTATAAAACCCAAGGCCTTTTCTTATCTACCTTTAATCTTTCATACTGAGACTCGAGCTCAGGGTATCTTAACTCCTATAGTCAGGTTGGCCTTAGCTCTTTGCAGTCATCAACAATAAATCACTGCATTTGGAAGAGAAAAGGCATGCACATCTGTGTGCATGTGTATTTTCTCATTTGTAGAGAAATTTCTAGCTCTCTGTCAATTAGTTTAACTTCATAATATCAGGAATGCTATAAAACAAATCCAAGCTCTCTAGAACTGATAAGCTTTAGTTGGTAGGCTGAGAAATTTATGTGAAGATAGATCATGTGAAGCTTTTAAAATCTTTTGAATTTCATTTCCCAAATTGAAGAGTTAGCAAAAGAAAATTTGGGAGAAGAAAATGAGGAGCTCCAATAATTTTCAGTGATTTACTTCTTCATAATATGCTAGTTGTTGAATATACATTAGTAATTTATCAACTTTCAGAAATTACCCAAAATCAGTATTTGTTGAAGTTCTTTATGACTTGAAAATGAGACATTATTTGTAAGGCTTGTTATTTCATGTCAATTTGAAAGGAGCACTTATATATGAAACCAGGTGAATTGTGTATGAATAGACCATAAAGTTGAGTAAATTAGGATGCCTTCAGCCATATACACTCTCCAAAAAGCCGTTTAACAGCAAGGTTTGTATTAAATAAGATAATGAGAGGTCTATAAACATGACTTTTTTTTTTTTTTTTTTTTACTTTATTCAGTAGCTAAACAATGTCAACGGGACCAAGTTTTTTGGTTTTCGTACCTTTCCATATCACGATCCTCAACTTACTAAGTTTTGATTCTCCACTGTATATGATAGTGGTTCAAGATTTATATGCTGTTTGTCCAACTTTGTACAAAGTCAGAGAAGAAAAGGAAGGGGTGCTTGTCCTTCAGTGTCATAATTTTTGTAAAGGAGATTTTTTAAGATGTTTTCCCAGTCTTGGTCAAGTATCCGTGCAAAAGAAGTGAGGCCTTAGTATTTTCAGCTTCCATTGGGAAAACAGTTTCTGCGATGATATCTTCATTCATTCATCTCGATGGCACCCACTCATTTGATTTGCCTCCTACTCTATCAACAATGTACATTTTAAGTCTTACGTAAACATATGTTGAATGAATAAATACACACACACATATATATGGGCACATGCACATACATACATGCATACATAAGTAGACATGTCATGGCAGTACATAGTAGAAACGCACGTACATAATCCCAGAGGGCATGTGACCACAGAAATTCACCATTCATTTTTTAAAATTACCCACAGAACATCTTTGGTAATATTTTGCTGAACTCTGAGTAGTAGAGGATTCTAGTTTCCCTGAAAATTGTTCAATTTTGAATAGATTTGATAGTTTTTAGTAGAGAGAGACTTTGAAGGAGCATCGGGTCCTGTGGCAGCATTCAATTATATTTTAAAAATAATGGCATATGCTGAAAATTGCCAGATATGTTGATAAATTCAGTATCCTTACTAATGTTTCAGAGCTGGTTTTTGCTTGGGAAGGCTGACAGAGTGGTAAACATTCTCCACTAGAGGAAGGAGTGAGGTCCTGCTGTTACCCAAGACCCATATTACTTTTATTCTCCTTTATTCCACTTGTAGATGATATTCTCTGGAATTTTTACTCTCCATTTTGCTGCTCTTTTACTTTTATATATACACTTGTTTAATTTCAGAAGTATTATTTTCTCATTGTAGGAAAAAAAACTTTAAAAAACTAAAAAAATTATGGGGCACCTGGGTGGTATATAAATCTTGAACCACTATGATACACTGGGGAATCATGACTTAGTAAGTTGAGGATCGTGATATGGAAAGGCACGAAAACCAAAAAACTTGGTCCTGTTGAGATTGTTTAGCTACTGAATAATAATAATAGGTTAAGTGTCCCGACTCTTGATTTCAGCTCAGGTGATGATCTTAGGGTCCCGGGATTGAGGTCCTTTTCAGGCTCCATGCTCAGTGGGGAGTCTGCTTGTCCCTCTCCCTCTCCTCCCTCCTCCCAATCGCTCTCTCTCTCCCAAATAAATGACATCTTTAAACAAATTAGAAAAATCCACTTAAAATCAATGTTTTTTTTATTTATTTATTTTTATTTATTTATGATAGTCACAGAGAGAGAGAGAGGCAGAGACACAGGCAGAAGGAGAAGCAGGCTCCATGCACTGGGAGCCCGATGTGGGACTCGATCCCGGGTCTCCAGGATCGCGCCCTGGGCCAAAGGCAGGCGCCAAACCGCTGCGCCACCCAGGGATTCCCAAAATCAATGTATTTTTTTAAGGATTTTATGTATTTATCCATGAGAGACAGGGGGTGGGCAGAAGGAAAAGCAGGCTCCCCAAGAAGCAGGGGGCCTTAAGTGGGACTTGATCCCATGACTGAGATAATGACCTGAGGCAAAGGCAGATGCTTAACTGACTGAGCCACCCAAGTGCCCACAACACAGAATACTTTGAAATATTTTATATTTCTGTTTTAGTTACTTTTATACTTGGCATAATCTGCCTTTTGATTAATAGATAGGTTTAAAGTGTATATTATATATTCTTCTCTTCCACATAATTTTAAACCATAAAGCATCCTTTATTTCTTTGTAAAAATCTAAATGAGTAAATTTTCATATGAATATGCCAAAAGCGACTCAACTTTAGCCTTATAAATATTTGTGCACCTGTCTATTCATATGTGTTGTGATTTTAACTTACACTATGATGAAAAATGTGTTATTTCTAACTTGAGACATAATTTTTATTGAACATTTATTACTATGAAGTAATTCACTAAAATTATTGAAAAATTTTGATGTTATTGGTACCTAGTACACTTTTCTGAATTTAGTTTTTTTTAACTTTATTGAGGAATAATTGACAAAAATAATTGTATATACTTAAAGTGTACAGCATGATGATTTGATATACATAAACATTGTGGAAGGATTACCAAGATCAAGATTATTAACACATTTATCACTTCACATAATTATTTGGGTGTGTGTGGTGAGCATGATTTAGAGCTACTCTCAGTAACAGTTATATCATGCTGTACATTTGGTCCTTAGAACCTATTCTTATAAATGA